TGTGACTTGTCTGTTACTTCCACTTGAATACTGAGGGTGAGATGCAAATAAGGAGGGAAGAAAGGTTTTAAGGTTCTTTGTATATCTCTGCAATAATGAATATTAGTTAATACACAAAATACATGAATACATGCAATACACCTTATCCAGAGCCTTCTGTCACTGCTGTACCTCCTCAGTTCGCTAGCAGAGACTTTCCCTCACTAAGGACAAATGAACACACTATAAGGATATTGAATGCTTGTGTATACTTGTTTGCTTGTATGCTTGACAGTTTTGGGGAAGGTTAATGAGGGATAGAAGAATAAATGAAAAAAGATAAGAACAAAATGGATGATGGGTGAGTAACAGCCAGACTTCCATGGAATTAAAACCGTATTTATTTTTACACAAAGAGATAAACATGCATATATAGAGCTTCCAACTAATGCTCCAAGTACGTGAGAGCTTAAGCGTCAGCTAAACTGGATGGTACTGTAGATGGACTGATTTACCCCACACTGATTCAGAAGCTGCAGAATTAAGCTTCATGTTCCTCAAACCCCAAACTGAGATGTTCATTATTCAAAAAGGTTCCAGTTTTCAGGTTTCTGATTTTACAGATCAGCAACCATATCACTAACAGCAGAGGAAAGAATTTATAAATGCCACTGTAACAATGCAGAGAGCATACAAAATTCAAAAATAGTCTTTTCTCAGCCTTTTATTGTTTGCCCATTTGCTGAAGTTAGAAACCTAGTGCATCTGAAAAGGTGTTGCTGTGGGAAACAGGCTGTCTTTATTTATGTGTTGTTCCCATCACTGGTTGTTAGAAATGACATTTGGTACTGACATGGCATACAGCTCTATCATTTACCTGTATTTTGTATATTAGGTGACCTCAGATGTCACTTGAATATGTCATGATCATGGCATTTGCATTAAAAACCCAATTTGCACTGTGTAGTCAGTTTTACAGTACTGATATCACTGACCGCTGTCTGTGTGTGCAGTGGAGGGACGTTTCCCAATGATGACGGCTCACGGCAGCAAGTGAAGAACTCCCTGTTTGTGGGTGAAAGTGACAATCGTGGGATGCCCCTCCCTGACAACCGGATCTGGGGCCCCGGGGGTTCTGACCTCACTGGCAGGACCCTGCCACGTGGCATGTAAGTACATCTCTTTTAGCTCATTGATTTTGTTTTACGGCCAATAAACTCTCATCAGAAGTCCACCAGGGAAAATGTCAAAACAACAACAGCGATAATAATAATAATAAGAAGAAACCTTATTCATAAAGTACCTTTCTAAAACTGTTTTTACACAGTGCTTTACAAAGAATAAACACTTCTTAGCAGTAAATAAAAGAGAGAGGACATGTAAAACTGTAAAAACAACATTAGCATTCAAGCAGCCAGAAAATGAGGATTCACCTGTAAATTTTTCGAGTAGTCTAGCCAGATTTACTGGATGTGGAATCAAAGCAAATTGTGACAAAGATCATCACCTTACAGAATCATGTACACAAGGAGTTTAATAATTCTATATGCTCCCTGTAAATATGATTAAAACCAAGATGTCAATGCACATGTAACTGTAGTCATTTCAGAACAGTCAGTGAAATACTGTATGGAACCCTGATGTCTTTCCTTTTAGCCACACCTAACCTGGATTTAATCTACAGTAGACGAGTGTCTGGCAAATCAGCACAATGATACTCAGGAGAACCTTTAGAATATCAAATATTCAGCCTTTGTTGGCTTGAATGTTCGGTGTAAAAAGCTGGTATTTTGCTCATTTAAAAGGAATTGTGGTAATGGCAGTTAGAATGGGCAGATTTTGCCAAAAATATGGCTAAATACAAAGCTTCTGTCTTGTGTTATATACTGTATGAAGATGAAGTGTTTAATACCCCAAAGATTGATTTTGGGTGGAGCATCAGAGTAATAAAAGGTGATATGTGAGCAAGCCAGACTTATAGTAAAGACTCATATAATATAGTAGAAAACAGTCCTGTGCTCTGGCCCGCTTGGCAGGGTACAGAAGGAAGGTCTCAGTAACTGTATTAATAGAGATTCCTTTATTATGTGGGAAGAAAGAGAAATCCACATAAAGTGTTATTGTCTGAATTCTTCTTTTTCAGCTGGACATTCTTTAATGCAGCTACTATACTTGGGCATTGCACAAGTCATGCTGTGAAGTGCTGAGCATTTGTTGAAGGATATTGGATAAAAAAGATTTTCATCCACGCACACTATTATTGTCACACCATTCAATGGCCATTGTCACTCAGTGCCCCAGCCATATATACTGTATAAGTATATATAGCTGTGATAACAACCTCCTGGTTCCCTAGTGGCCATAGTAATTATGACACAAGTCACGGATTTGGTGACCTAGCATATGGCAGGAGATAGTCTGTGTTAGGAAGAGGTGAGTGGGTCAGAAAACTGTGGACTTATGATTCTACTGTTAAATGTTGTGTTTTGAATTCATGACTGTTTTAACCCAAGCCAGAATATTTTCCTAAACAATGATAGCTTTAGTATAGAAGTATATTGCATTCACCAAACAAAAAAAATGAAGGATAAGGACAATAAGGATAATCACCTTTATTGGCCAAGTATGTTACACACACAAGGAATTTGTTTCTGGTACAGAACTGAGGCAGCCATCTGCGGCGCCAAGTCACACTGATGGCTCTAACCATCGGGAGCAAATTGGGGGTTCAGTGTCTTGCCCAAGGACACTTCAACATGTGGACTGTAGGCATCCGGTTGGGAGATGACCACTCTACATACTGAACTGTAGTTCAGTGGGTAGAGCGATGTTTTGTACGTAAAGCAGGAACCAATACAATGAAGGTCTATGGCTGTGGTTCTCAAAGTGTGAGACATGTCTCCCTTGGGGGCTGCGACAGGGTTTCAAACTTCAGCTCAGTTATGTGTGAGGCAAAATGTATCGATTTGTAGTAGGCTACCTTAATGAGAGAGCAGAAAACAAACTAAGTATGGTGATTATTTGAATTGTCTTGATGATGCCCCACTCCCACAGTGTGTTTTCTGCAAAGTGGTGCTAGCTAATGACAGTGAGAGACCATGTACAGTAATCTCCAGCATCATATGGAGACCAACTTAAGTTTGGTGACCAAGACAAAAAACTAGAGGAACTGTGGTCACAGAAGAAAGTAATTGAGACATTTAGAACAGTGAACACCAAGGCAGCCAAAGCCTCATATTGCGGTGTTCAGACAGTGAAAAACAGTTCTGTGCATTGTAAGCAGTGATGATTTCATTTGATGGCAGAATGAGTTTGATCTGTTCAAAAATTGTCTTGAGTAAAACTGAACAAATAGGCCTTACAATATATAATAATAATAATAATTTATTTGTTTATATAGCACTTTACAACACCCAATGGTGCTCAAAGTGCTTCACAGCAAAATGTATAAAAATAAAAGCAGAACATGTTTAGACATATAAACTAACAAAAAGGAAAACAAGTTAAACAAGTTACACAAATTTAAAACCAAGGTCTGTGGGCAACTCCTGTACAATAAAAATGTGTCAAAGTACAAACAGAATAAGATTACAGAATATAAAATCAGAAAGCCTGAAGGCACCTGTTTAGCACCACTGCTATGACCGGTGTATGAATAGTTAAAAGATCAGTCAAATAGGCTGGAGCAAGGCCATTAATGGCCTTGAACACGCACAATAGAACCTTAAAAACAATTCTAAACTGTACCGGAAGCCAGTGAAGAGACTAAAAGACAGAGGTGATATGAGGATACTTTGGAGTATTTGACAGTAGACGAGCAGCCGCATTCTTTACTAGTTGGAGCCTACGGAGGGGAGAGACTGGTTAATTCCAGTGTAGTTCAAAGTTCAAAGTGTTTTTATTTGTCATATGCACAGTTAGGAAACGTGTTTCCGTGTGCAATGAAATTCTTACTTTGCTGTCCACATGAATGCCAAAAAATTCAAATGAAATATAAAGTAGATAAAAAAGTAACACAAAATCTAAGGCACTTTAAGCAGCAACAAATGCAGCAATGTAATAAAAAATATATAAGAATATAACAGAGAATGTATGCTGCATGGGAGCAGCATGTGCAGCAGTCAACAGTCATTGTGCAATTATGCATGTGCAAACTGAGAATGTAAACAGTACATCACATATTTTCTGGTGGTAAACTCCTCAGCTGTTTAGGAGTCTGATGGCAGAGGGAAAGAATTAGTTTTTCAGTCTAGTGGTCCTGCATTTCACACTTCTGAACCTCTGCCCAGAGGGCAGAGAAGTGAACAGTCCGTGCTGGGGGTGTGTTGGGTCTTTGAGGATGGAGGCAGCTTTCCTGTGCACCCTGCGGTGGTAAATGCTCTGCAGAGAGGGCAGGGGAGTCCTGGTGATCTTCTCCGCAGTCTTTACCACTCTCTGCAGGCACTT